CATGACCTTCAAAGTTCTTTATGATTTAGTTCCTGCTTGTTTTTTTTTTTCAGTTTCATTTATCTCTCACTACTCTCCCCATTGTTCGTGTACTTCATTCACATTGGCCTTCTTTCAGTTCTAGCAACACACCAAGTCATCCCTGTTCCTGGAAGCTGAAAATTTACCTCTTCCAATAGCTCTTTCCTTTTTAAAGTAGCTGCCTCTACCCATTTACCTCTCCATCTTCTATTTCCTTGAACACCTTTCTTTGTATCCTAATATCTCCAACCTACCCCAACTCCCTACTCAAATCACAGATTTATCTGTTTATGTTTGCTCTCACTGGAATGCATGCTTTATAAGGGTAGAGATCACTTCCAGAATATTCACCATTGCATTTCCAAAAGTCTAGGACAACATCTGGCATCAAGGAGCTATTTGATAAATATTTGTTTAGTGGATGAATCCAGGCCATAAGTACTATTGGTTGTATGGCATGATTCAATGCTTAGGCTAAATTTATGGAGTGGGACTGACAGAAGAGACCAAGATAAATCTGTAGTGTGACGACAGCTGTGGGCATGTAGTGGAAATAAATCTTGGCCCACACTCTCAAATACGCAAGAAATTACATATAAATTTATGTTTATAACTTGACCTTGTTTCAACTTTGAGAATTTCATCCCCTGCCCCCAGTTGCGGAAAACTTAACCTCAATTATTCTTGGGTTTCCTTGTTCTGCTTCAAGATGGGCTTTGGTTTGGTTCAAGGGTTTGTTTTAGGGCCAAAGCAAGGGCCTCCGGTTGTTGAGTCATTTGTCTACTTTGGTTACTTCTGAGGGTGTGCGCTGACTCCGCTCACGCAGTTCCCCTAGGTCTGGGCTCCTTGCTGTTCCCAGATTTCTTTTAAACTATGGGAAATCTTTTTGAGGGGTTCTTATGGGTCCATCTGCTTAGAGACATGAGGCAGCCCTTACTCTCTGGAGCTTTTCTGCTTCTGCTATGTGCTGTGGTGTAACCAGAAATATAGGAGCTTTACTCCCTAAATGGACTTTTTTCCCTAAGCTCCCTGGTCTATGGACTTTACCTTCCATGAACTGCTTGTCAAAGGCACTTTTATGCTTCCCTTTTTTCAGAGAACTTAGCATAACCCTTTGAAATGGATTTAGGCTTTACTTAAGTCAGGAAGTAGATACGGCTTTATTCTCCCCCATCTTTCCAATGACAAAGCCTGGCTATCTGTTAAAAAATCTGAAGAACAAAAACAATAGTATAAATGAGAACAATTTAATATTTCATAAACTTATTCTACTGATAAGAGTTGAATAAGCTATGTCAGAATAGAGGCAGAAAGTGCAATTGTGATCACGTCATTCTTTTACTTAACACACTGCAGTGGCTTCCTATTGCTGCTAGGATCCAAATCAAACTCCTTGACCTAGCCCACCACACACTGCCTGCCTCTCCAGCCTCCTCATGCACCACCACACTCCTTCTCATTCTTCCTACTGGATGCACACTGGTGTTTCAGTGTTGGAAAAGACATGCTCTCTTTCAACATATGGTCTGTATAATACAGGTACCTCCCCATCTGGTTAACTCCCAGTCAGCCATCAGATTTCAGCTCTGCTGGCCTTATTGTAGGGAAACCTTCCCTATTGCCACCTATTGTGGATGCTCACACCTTTTCTTTATACTATTTGTCTGTGATGATCACTTTCTCTCATCAGATGACAGATGCAAAGGATAACTACAATGAAATGACATTTTCATCTGTCAGATTAGCAAAATCCCCAAAGTCTGACAACACACTATTTTGAATAAACAGGCACTATTATATAATGCTAGTGGGATTTTAAAACTAATATAACTTCCATGGAGCATAGTTTGGCGATATCTATTGAAATAGTAAGTATATATACTATTTGACCCAGAGAAATTCAGGAAATGAATCCTACAGATATATTTTTACAGTACCAAAATTACACATTTATAGCTTTTGTCTTTGCAGCATGTATTTCTCATAACAGAAGAAAGACTGGAAAAAGTGAAATGTTCATCAGTTGTAGGCTAGTAAAATACACCATGCTATATCCTCATTCAATGGAGTACTATGCAGCTGTCAAAAGTAAAGAAATTTCCTAAATACTAAGACAGAAAGATTTTCCATTTTTACTAAGTAAAAAATGCAAAATGTAGAACATGGTGTGTGGTATGCTACTTTTTGTATAAAAAGAGAAAAAGTAAAAAGAAATATATACACATATATGTATTTAATTTGCCTCTATATGCATAGGAAACTCTGGAAATATACTCATGAAACTAACAATGATTATCTATATTTTGGGGAAAGGGTGGGGAAATAGGAGAATGAGGAATAGGATAGGATGTAAGAATAAAAGTAATGAAAACACTTAATGATGTTCTTTTCTATTGGTTATATTATATATACTTATGAATGTCATATAAATTTAAAATTCATTACTAAAATGCAAAATTAATTGAAGAAATCAATTTTCTATAGTTAACCTCTTCATGAAGTAGGGATATAACAAAGGTTGCTTAAGCAAAACTAGCTGGTTGATTATTACTTTAACAACTGCCCATATTTTCATTATATTCATCAAAATAGATTCTTGTATTCTTTTTACATATTCTACCTCCAAATCAAACTAGACAAATATTAGGCACTGTTTCTTTTGGAAGAATCCCAGGTGCTAATCTTTAGTTTCTAAGGTTATGTTTTTAAAAGGTCAATTTTTAAGAATACATGCAAGAATCCCTTGTTTTAAAAATGTAAAGCTTAAGAGATAGAAGTGAAAATGAAGTTAAAATTAAACTTCAATAACTTCAATAAAAAAATGAAGTTAACTCAATCTGGAAACAACAAAAAAGACATTTCTTCAAAGTTTTTTGTATTTAGCCTTTTACTATAAGTACATTAAAACAGGGAAAATAAATTCTTGTCAACATTATTGCTACTAAGAATTTTAAAAAGCACAGAGGGTTACCCCATGTAGAGATATGTAAGTCACTCCTGGTTTCTGGAGAATCCTTCTCAAAGCATAAGTCTAAGAAGGGCATTAAGGAGCTGTCATTACAGCGTGGTGCCTGTGAAGCAGCTTGTGGGTCCATCCTCAACTTATTATTCTCCACTGAGGAAACTGATGATCAAATGATTTAAACACACTTCCCTGGTTGAGATTAAGACGTTCACTAATATTACTGGGATCATATTTTCATATGACAGAGTACAACGGCATCTAATGAACTTGCAGTGCATAGATCACAATTTCACACTCAGGTCATTTCCAAATGTATGATTCACCCCAGAAAGCAGATTTTCAGGAGGCACCAAGCACTCTTTATTCTTTAAACTATCTATTTCTTTTTATTGAAGTCTTAAGTGTTTAATTAGAAAATTTTGACTTCTAATCTGTTGGTTTTTTTATTTAAAGTCTGTAGGGTCAGTGTGTGGAACAGGCAGTTTTAGTAGCTCCTGAATACATTTACATGTGAACTGACAATAATTTTCATTTCTTTAGAGGGAATATCCAAGTCCTGGGAATTCTGGTTCTGCTCATTATTGTTGCCTACAGAACTAATGAGGGTATGATTCATAATACAGTGGCATCACACTTTCTTTCCTTCTCTTCTCCTTTAAGAAATACATGATATAATCTTTTTGCAGCCATCTAGCTTTCTACAGATGCAATTATAGCAGGGCCCAAACTCCTCTGCCTTGATAAACTTAACTTCAATATCTGGTGCTTTTACAGTACCTGGGTACATTTAAACTATTCTGTGCTCTTGATTCTGTTCCCCAAAAGTACAGACACAAAGGGAAATCACATAAACTATAATCCAATTTCCTTGTCCTGTTTGGTCTACATGCACCACCTGGTGGTAATGTGGTGCATTTCAAATGCAGTGTGTGTGTGTGTGTGTGTGTGTGTGTGTGTGTGTGGTGGGTGAGTGTATGCTTTAGGGGTATTAACAAGGGAAAAATATACATTTGTAAATATTGATTTAGATTAACAGTGCAATTATTCTGCAGCAAATATATAATAAAAGACTAGAAAACTAGTATATGTGTGCTAGAGCCAGAAGTAAAAGAGAGAACAACTCATGTTGGAAAGTAATATAGCTTTCTTATTTATATTAGCTATAGCTCTTATAATTCCATCCATAAATGAACATTTATTTCTTGTGCTAATGTTCTTTTTTTGAGGCATCAGTCAAATACTGGTAATCAATGTAAAATCATTTTCTTTACTTTTTAAATTTTAAGAATAATTTTTAAAACATGTTTGCTTTTCCTTATATTTATCAATAGTTAAAATTACAAGCCACAGAATTGTAAAACTATAAGACACCATTTAATAATTTAGACTAATATACTAACTTTACAAATGTAGCTGCTGAGACTCAGGAATGTTAAGTGACTTGCTCAAGGTCATATTGGTGATTAGTGGCCCAGCTCAAATAAGAACCCAGGTCTCCTTATTTTCAGTCTAGAAATATAAGACATAGAAATGATATACATATACAATGGCAAAGTACTTCTGTATAAACGGATATACTTGTGACTCAGCTATACTGTGCTTTAGGACAGTGAGATGTGTTAGTTCAGACTCGTAGTTTTATTCTAGTATTCGGAGCACAGAGGAGTAATAGAAATGCATGCATCATAAAGCTATAAAAAAGATCTTCTAACTGTTAAAAAGTCCCTTTATATATGTTCAAAGTAGTATTTATCAACTTATATACAGCTGCTATGCTGTAAAGATGGTCTAAAAAATTCCCTTTTCCCTTCTAACTGCTTCAGAATCAGAGAGCTGTTTCCACCAGGGAGATACCCACTTGTAAATTTCAGCATAAACCATGTTCATAGCTCCCTCTCATGACCATTGAATGAATACTATACAAGCCTCCTTTATTCTCCCTGTTGTATTCATCTAACAGCTCACTGGTTAAGTTTTAATTGCTTCCAATGAGGTCAGCAAAGGTATTTATCGAAAAGCCCTGAATAAAAGGCTCCACACACATACACAGGAGCACACACGCACTCACACACACAGAGAAAATCCTCCTGCCTGTTGATTTATGGAAACAATTATGATTCTGCTGGAGAACTTCTCAGCTGAGAAGTAGTTTGTAGCTACAGTAGAGAGGCTCAAGTTGCACCAGGCAGACAACAGACATGGAATTCTTGTGCATCCAGCTGTTATCAACAGAACAAGTAAGTTACTGTTATTTGTCTTAAAAAATAACGCTGAATGTTTTCTAGTAGTTTATCTTTTTCTCTGGTTTGTGTACTGAAGGGAAAAGTAAAGTTACCAGATATTCGAGCCACGTAATTATCTATAGTAATTTCAGTGTAGAACTTGCATAAAGATAAGGCTGAAGTTTTCCAGAGCAATCCTGACATTTAACTTGTGAAATGTGGGCAGTTCAGGAGAAAAATGATTGATTAAACACAAATGTGAAAGCATATAATGAAGAAATCTAGGGAAAGCATTTTTACTTTGTTAGCAGCAATTTTAGAACTTAATTTAAACCAATAGCTCTAATTGCAGGATGTTTCTTATCAAATAACAACTGGAATGAATGGTACAATCATATTCTGATTTATCTCTACCAATGCATAACCTTTATAAATCTAAATACAAAGTAGTAAAAATGTTGAAATCCTGTGAGCTGTTTGAAATGTACCTCCATAGTCTATACTACACTGTGTATTACAATACTCTTTACCCACTGAAAGTTAAACCTACAATTTTTCATCCTCCTTTCTCCTCCTGTCCTTATTCTTAATCTCTCCTTGCAAACAGAAGTCAAGTAGCAAACAGCGTCACAGCAACTGAGCTCACCACAGCCTGCTTTTACAAGGATACCCCAGCAGAGTAAAGGAGGGACCCTGTGTTGCTGTTATCAGGAACTGAAAGGATAAGGCTAACAATTTGGAAAGAGCAACTATTCTTCCTTAAATCAATCTACAACTCACAGACAGGAAGAGGTCAATGACCTAGGAGCAACAATCACTCAAGCTTTAATTTTCAGTATGTTATTCATGAACACTCGGAGCACTACACTATAATGCGCAAATGGATACTGACATGGATCCTGCCAACTTTGCTCTACAGCTCATGCTTTCACATTATCTGTCTAGTGGGCACTATATCTTTAGCTTGCAATGACATGACTTCAGAGCAAATGGCTACAAATGTGAACTGTTCCAGCCCTGAGAGACACACAAGAAGTTATGATTACATGGAAGGAGGGGATATAAGAGTGAGAAGACTCTTCTGTCGAACACAGTGGTATCTGAGAATTGATAAACGAGGCAAAGTCAAAGGGACCCAAGAGATGAAGAACAATTACAGTAAGTAAAGTCTTTTATTTACAGCACTACTAATGAACCATCACGAGCTCTGAAAAGATAAATTTCCAAGTGACATGCTTTCTGTTTCCTTTTTACTTTTGAAAACAATCAAATATCATCTTCTAATTTCTCTACATTTGGATAGTTGAACTATGTTCCTAAAAAGTGTTTTAAACGTACCTCCACAGTATACACTACTTTGTATGTTCTCTTGGAATAGGGCAAATTTACTAATATTATAATTGGAGCTGATAACCAAGCTAATTTGAAAATATACTCTCCATGTCCTAAGTTAAAATGCTCATAAGTTAAACAGAATATAAATTACATTATTCACACTGAAATATGATTTATTGTCCGCTAGAAAGACTCATTAGGAATGCTAATGAGTATTCAGTAAATGGTCACCAAAAACTACTTATTAGTTTGAGGAACAGAGAATTTATTTTAAAAAAATAATTTGATTTTCTTTGAAAGACTGTTTCTGTGATGTAAAGGTAATCAGTGCTCAAACATGCACTCAGTGACTCGTGCAATTGTGTGCAGTTATAAAATGGAAGGGAGTCAGTGGCATCCTCATTTGTTCATGTCACAATGAACTTGCACTGGACTGTTTAATTATTTACCAAGGCACAAGAGAAGAATAGGTTCCTCCTAACATTTTATTTATGTACGTCTTCTATGTCACAGTTCTATGTCAGCTTGAGAAAAAGGTAAATGTGAAGGGAGAAATAAAAGTGAGTTGAAAAAGATGTTCATTCCATAACTTTCAACTAATGAGCCTCACACTTTCCTCAGGAATCAGTTATTCTTTTCATGTGGTAATATCAGGGTTGGAGTTATCATTTAGCACTTATGATTAATAGCCAATTTCAATAGTATTAAAGTTAATGGGGTAAAATATATACCCCAATATATACATTTGAATTTAAAAATTCCTGAGTGAAAATAAATTTTGTTTGTATTACTAGTACTTGAACAATATTATTAGTACCTGATCTTACAATACTGTGTTGAAGTCGATTAAAAGGGAATGCATGGGGATGATGTCCAGGACAGTGCCAGGCCTGCCTAGGACATGGTTAAAACTTCTGTTACTTGTTTTAATGAATGGCTTTCAGGCTTCTTAGCTAATACTTTAACTATAATTAATATAGAGGGTTAAGGACATTTAATAGACTGTTAACAGTTATGGTTTATAGTTACTATTATTAATAAAGATATGTTATTTTTAGGATATTGTTCTGATTATGCTGAAGTTTAGCTAAGGAAATAACTATTTGGGAGAAAGTTTTGTGGTTGGTCACTTTTTTGTGAGCAACAGAATTTGGCTTACAATCACTTCATTTAAGTTATTCAGATTTATCATAGACAGAGTCCAGGTGTATATTATAACATATAATCTAATCCCTGCTTGTGAATGATGTTGGAACAGGTTTTTACTTTTTCCAATTCTCAATTTTTCATCTGTAAGGTATGGGATATATACAAATGATTTCTCTTTTTTTTAAGATTTTATTTATTTATTTTTAGAGAGGGAAGGGAGGGAGAAAGAGAGAGAGAGAGAGAAACATCAATGTGCAGTTGCTGGGGGCCGTGGCCTGCAACCCAGGTATATGGCCTGACTGGGAACCGAACCTGCGACACTTTGGTTCACAGCCCGCACTTAATCCACTGAGCTATGCCAGCCAGGGCTCAGATGATTTCTAATATATTTTCTAGTCCATAAAGCCTATGTTATTCTAAACCACAGCAATTATGTAACACAAATGTGGAAAATCTAAGTGTTCATCATTGTCACACATGTTGAATGAGACTCAAATGATATTATCTCAATGATAAGGATGAACTCTCAGAACTAATTTAAAATTGTAGTAATAAGGTTATCAAACCTAAACACTAAAGAATTCTTCTATATGCTGACTAATTTCTCTTGAATGCTTTTTTCAAATAATAAAAAAGTGAAAAATTAGATGTTAATTCAGTAAAAGTGAAAACGTATAATTATGTAGGATTAAAAATATCTATAACTGGAATGCATTTACATATGTCAGTTTTATTTGTCTTCAAATTTCTTAAAACAGGCATTTGTAAATATACACAAAATGCTGAAGTTATTTTGTAGTTTGAAATAAACTTATCATGAATCTTGACTAACTAAAAAGCCAATTTGGTAAGCCGTTTCTCCTCTAATACTATGCTACAGTGAGAAAGAAAGAAAAAAATAAAGGAAGGAACTAACCTCAGGATATTAATGGGTCTCGAAGGACTGCTTACTTCACCAGTAATAAGCATAGCTCCGCATAAGAATGTAGTTTATAGGTGTTGTTAAGATAGTGGATTGGAGTGAGTAGCACAGTGGAAAATATGGGTGTTATATTTCTGCTCTCAGAAGGTGTTGGGCTGGGATCGGTGGGTGGAAGGCCTGAAAGAAGAGAGGTGGAATGGTAGGGAGGTGGATATGATAGCTCATGTCTCACATCTTTAGGTAATTTAAAAAATTACTGCCCTGGCCAGGTAGGTCAGTTGGTTAGAGCATTGTCCTTATACACCAAGGTTGCTGGAGTGATCCCTGGTGAGGGCACATACAAGAATCAACCAATCAATGTGTAAATAAACGGGACAGCAAAATCGATGTTTCTCTCTCTCTGTTCCTTCCTCTCTCTCTCAAAAAAAAATCAATCAATAAAAAAATTTAAAAAATTATCTAAGCTACCTTGGCTTGTGACAATCTTAGTTCAGTCTTATCTTAATTACAGTGTTGTCTTGTGAAATATTTTAAATTTATATTAGAATTGAATAGCAGAAAAAGCGTACCAAGGAACCCAACAGAAATAAGACTTGTATTAGTAGACATATGAGCAAGGCCCAACTATGTAAATGTAGGAACCTATGAGAGGCCAAGGGACCATATTTCTGACTCCTCAGGGGAGAAAAGCTGTTACTGGAAAACTGGTCCTGAGATCTCATGCTATTATTACCCAGGAGGCAAGAAAGCCTCTCCTCTCAAATCGTTCTCGTAGGCGGCTTCACAGTTAGCCTACGAATAGGGTTCTAAGTGATAAACCTAGAACCTAACCTGAACTAATAAAAGGGTAATAAAAGCCTACAATGTCCCTCAAAAATGAAATACGTATCATGTTCTTTGCAGAAAGAGAGTGTTAATAACATCATAAAGGGACTGGCAATGGATGGTCAATACTTCCACTGCTGTTGTCAGAAAGAGTTTTCTCCTCGGAGACAGGGCCAGAGGGTGAATTCAGATAATTGTTGGACCAGGCAAGCCCTCAGCAGACAGAAACAATCACTCCACACCTGACAGAAATAACACTGCTGTCTAAGCTGGGGATGAAGGTGCCGAGTGAGAGGTGGCAGCAGTGCACTGGGCAACCGACAACCGCCTGCCAGTCAGATGTGGAACGGAGAGCTCAGTCTCTGAGTGCTTTCCTTGCTTTTGGCTCCCAATTACTAAAAAGTTTTGCTGTTCCCAGCAATGGTCAATATCAGCCATCCCTTTTAAGGAAAAATTCTTAGTTGTCAAACCACCAATTCAAAAAAAAAGATTATGCCTTACTTGTTATAGTTAAGCATTGTTAAATTCCATAGCAAGAAAAGGGTTAGCCATTCTGAAAACTGGCCAATAATTTGGCAATATTCTCTTTTGGATTGTTAGACTGTGACGGGATATGGCCTAACAATTGGCAAAAAACAAATAAACACAGTGTTGTTGGATTTGACTTTGGCTACAAAATCTTCAGCGACTCAATTGTCAACAATTCTTTGGATAAACTCCTAATCAACAATAATCTCTGCTAGTAGCGACCAAATATACACATCACATCTACATATGGTAAACTTGCTTATGATCTAAACAATTCTCAGAAAGTTAACTAAAAGAACAATAATTCACATTGTCAAAATAAAAAAAAATAAGAAAACCAGGACAACCCCACCTTTAAAAAACATAATGAGGAACATATCTATGGAGTTGAACCAATATCCTAGAATTATTGACAAAAAGGAATCCTGTAGAACTGATGACCTGCATTCCCTTAAGTAAATTATCAAGACTTTAAATTACAGAAGATGGGTAATGTTCTGTGGAGCAGTTTGAAAATATTAGCTATTTTTGAAGTCTAATATTGAAGATTATTTTTCACTCTATAGGCTTCCTCTTTTCTTGGGCTAATGCAAGTGCCTCACAATTATAAAGTGCTAATAATTTATTGCCACAGGTACATTTCTTATTTATTTTGTAAATTCTCATCTGAACTATCACTTTCTTTTTTGATTTAATCTTTATTATATTTTTTTCCATTACCATTTAGTCCCCTTATACCTCCCTCCCCTCGGCAATCACCACACAGTCGTCCATGTCCATGAGTCCTTTTTCCTTTTTCCTTTTTGCTCTATCCCTCCACCCACTAACCCCAGCCCCCAGGTGTCATCTCGCTCTCCATCTATGAGTCTGTCCCCATTTTCCTTGTTAGTTCAGTTTTGAACTATCACTTTCATTTCTATATCAACCCTGAGCATCTGAACATGTATTTTCCCTTGTTACTCAGCTGTATCACAACACTTCAGCCTGTAGCTTTAGAGCAATCAGAGACTCAAGTAAACTGGAGAGAGTGCAAGAAGCCAGGTTTTAGATATAAGGAAGGGTTTTCTTTTCTAGATTTTTCTATTCATCAGCCTCAGCTAAATATTGTAATCAGCTGGGGAATTTAAAAAAAATGCTAATGCCAGGTCCCACCCACAATGATTCTTATTAAATTGATTTGGTGTGTAGCCTGGGCATCAGGAATTTTAAAAGCTCGCCACATAATCTTGACATGTCGCCAAAGCTGAGAAGCCACTGGACTACGGGGATCACATTAGATTACCGGGAAAACCACAGCTCAGTTAAATCAGAACCTTAAAGGTGGGACGGAACAAAGTATTAATGTTGGTTAAAGCTCTCTGGGGATTTTACTCGGCAGGGAAGGTTGAAATCCACTAAT